TCACGGTACATTGAAGAGATGAACCGTCAGATACTTTGATTTGAAAGAAACAAAAAAAAGGGAAAAAAGTAAGCAAGTTTGTATTAATATTCATGTTTTTTTGGGGTTTTTTTTGGAAAAAACAAATCTATTCAAAATATTAAAATGAAAATAATGTTAAACTACGAAATACTCTCTATGTAGCTTTAAAGGGACTAACCTTTTAGTGGATGTTAAATTATAAGAAAGTGTCATTATCATTATTATTATTATTATCATTACCGGTACTATCACTATTATTATTATTATTATTCAATGGCCTTTATAATTACCAGTATGTCATTATTTCATGTGTAAAAAAAAAGTTATTAAACTAAGAAAAGAGAAATGAAATAAAAGTGGGTGCAACTCCCACAAAAGAGAGAAAAAAAAAGAGTTTCATTATAAATTTAAATCGTTAATAAATGGTATGGTTCCAAACGATTGGAAAGTATCAATGGCTACACCAAAGGTGGCAACCAACAAAGCCTTAAAGCCTTATAATTATTATAGACAAATCTCAGTGCCATACTTTAGTTAAAATTGTTGAAAAGGAAGTCTAAGACCAAATTATTACAGTATTTCAATGTAAATGACCTTATAAATAAATGTCAAGGGTCCCAAGTTGGATGAAGCCATTTCCGGGAGATCTGCATTTGTGGGTCGAAGGATGCGGGTGAAGTCAAGGAGGGGGGGGGGGGGGCAGGAGCAGGAGGGACTTTGACAGATGGAGGGTCTAGATCACATCAGCCCCACCATGGTTATATATAAGGTAAGAAAATTTATGATAATGCACCTCATGACTGGAAGTGGCCCAGACTTAAATTTAAATATAATTTTCACTTCTCCCTCCCCTGAATCCGCCACTGATCTGGTTAATGAGCCATCTCTCATTTAATATTATTTTTCTGCACAACCAGGTACCCATAATCCGTGACAAAATTGATAATAAAGCAGTGTAAACATGCAAAATTATAAATTTGCTGAGATGGGTTACCGTAATTTCCGGGAGATTCTTGCTTGCTTGCGGGAGTGCCTGGAGGCCATCCTGACTTTTGAGAGACTCCCGTGAGTCCCGGGCAACTTGGGTCCCCTGAAAAGTTGACCAATGTGCTTTCAGAAAGTACCACTCATCTTTTACGGGCCTTCACTGTGTAATGATTGGCTATAATCCACTGTATTAATGACCGCTAAATAATATTGATATTGCAAAGTAATTACTGCTATACGTCTTTAACTATAGGCCTAATTTTAGAAAAATGCTTGCAAGTGAAAGTCAAATTACCTTTTAAATAAAGAAGAACATTAGCCAATACTAATTTTGTTTATAATGTTAAAGCAGGTAAGGTCTACTAGTAAAGAATATGGTAAAACATTGATTATACAATACATGCTAAAATGTTGTAAAGAATAGAGACATTCATATTCGTCACGCATTGATTTATTTTAGTGATTAACATAATCACTTCATAATTTAATTCCATTATATTTAGTGAACATATACGCGTTTGTATGAGCCGCACTCACTGAAGTGGTTGGCCCTACGTTGCACTTATCTACTACTGTACATCTGAATACTCCGCTGCTCTTTTCTTTTTACTGTAGGCCTTGAATAATAAATTCTTAAAAGTGTGGCTTTTGTAGTGTGTGACAAGTCCTCGTCCACTATTTTGTAGGTTCGTGTTATTGTAAAATTATTTATTTACGGTATTTTAATGGACGTAAATAGGAACTCAAAATATGCCAATAATGGTAGGCCTAAGACATTTTAAAGAATGTGCTACGATATATTTCTTCC